TTCCTCTCATAGGGCTGCTTTTATTTCTAACTTAAGGCAACCACTGAAAGGCATTGTCTACTGAGGCCAGAGACTTCCATGGAGCCCTTCTGGATATGATAAGTTCAGAATTCTGGCTCCTAGCAAGGGCTTTGGGTCATCACGCTGCTGAGGTGGAGAGGGCTGGGAAGGGCAGGCAAGGTCTTTGTCCTTCCACCAGAGATCCCCACTTTACCCTAAGTAAGAAAGACACAGTGGGCGGGTGCTTGGCCTATAGGCAGTGGGTGCCATTGGTCATTGGTTTTCAGACTCCCAGCAACAGGAGCCCATGCACCTAGCAAGACTGGAGCAGGCAATGTGGAGCTCTGAGACCTCTGGGGCCTTTCTCAGCTATTAGTAAACGTAACTGGAGGCAGGCAGGAAGCTGGACGGTCAGGACCACCACAGCTGCCCCAAGCCAGTAGCTTCTGATTTAGTTCTCACACCCAAGAAACATAAGGAAGCATGGACAGAGTGAGCAGAGTGGACATGGACTTATTAGGGAAAAGTGAGGATACCCCTGAGTGAGTATGGGAGCGGCTCTGAGGGAAGACTACCACCAGGTAGCCCTGCGTGGTGGCCTTCCGATGGGTCCAGTGGCAGGGGCTGGATGCAGGATGGATGAAGTTGTGTTTACGAGGATTGTCATTTCTGAGCCAGTAAGGAGTCCACGTGCCCTATGCCAGACAGTCACGCTTCCATTCAGGGGAGAGGCCAAATTTGCTACACTGGTAGCTCATGATACACCATAGGTCCCACCCTTATTGCCTGAGGGGATCTAGCGCCTGTCTCAGTAGGAACACGGTAGAGGCCTTTCCACATCTGTCCTCTGTCCCAGCTCTACCCAGCATCCTACAGACTCTTGTTTTTCCAATCTGAAAACCCAACTCCCACTTTGACACGCTAAGAAGCAGCTTCTCATACTCAGACATTTTAGAGATGGGGAGGGACAACACTAGCAGTGAGCCTCTGCCAAGCAGGTAATCACTTGCTGCCTGGCACAACATTGGCTCTGTGTTGCCAGATCTTTCAAGTTTTTTTTTCCATAGCAAGCAAAAAAAAAAAAAGCTTTTCAATTAAAAAAATGAATTCAGTTTTCGATGTTGTTAGTTAACATGAGCAAGATAGCTAAATGCTCTGAGTGTGTGAGAATTAAATCAAGAAAGTTAAAACGTTCTTAGAAGACAACACAGAGAGAGGTATACCATGTTCTTGGATAGAGAGGTATGCCATCTGTATCAGTTACTTTATTCATTGCTGTGACAAAAACAGCTTAAGGAAGTGGGGGCTTGGTTTTTGCCCACAGTTTGAGCATACGGCCTGTCATGGCAGGAAAATCATGGTAGCAGGTGTGTGAGGCATTGGCTAGGAAGTGGAGACCATTGAATTCTTGTGCCTTCTTTTCATTCAGACTGGGACCCCAGTCCATGGAATAGGGTGGCTTTTTATATATCAATTAACCCAACCTAGACACATCCTGAGAGACATGCTCAGAAGAGGGCTTGGATGCCACAACACGAATGTGGAGGTCAGGACAGCTTGTGGGAGTCATATTCTCTCCTCTATCATGCGGGTTCAAGAGACCAAACGCAGGTCAACATGTGTAGCAGCCATCACCTTTAACTGCTGAGCCATCTCACTGGATCCATGAAGACAATTTTAAGGAAAACCTTTATTTTGTTCTGTTTTTTTCTCCTGTTTTGTTCTCCCTTTTCCCCTGTACTCTCCAGTCAATAAAGGCCTGGGCTATCTGCCTTACCTATCCGGAGAATTGGCACTGGAGTCTGGCAGGGAGTCCTAAGGACGGAACTCCCAACAAGGCCAAGAGGGAATGCTCTGAGCTGTTGCTGTGTGTTCACTCAGATACTCTGTGTGTGAGTGGACAGAAAAATAAACAAAATGTGCTGAAGAACCAGAGACAAAGTAGAAAGCCATACACCACCAGCTCTTGCCTTTCCCCAGAGAAACCAGGTAAATCCATGTATGTGGATTTTTTTTCCATGTGGGGGTGGAGGAGTTACATTTTAATGCCTGAATTTGGGCATTTGGTTTGGAAAAATAACTGTAATGCCAATGGTCAAATCCCAACCACCCCCCAATCTCAGAGAATTCAAGTTCATGTTTAAAATTTCTGCAGTGGAGTTAAAAACACACAGTGCCCAAGAGCAGCTGTTCCCGGCAGACACATCCCTAGTTCCACTCTGAAACAAAACAGAGGCACAAACATCACCTCCAGTTGATTACATCTAAGGTACCTGTGGCTGCAGCAAAGAATATCTCCCCTGGGGTTTCCACAGCCAGGACGTCAAATGCATGCAGACCACGCCACAGTGCAGATGGCCAACAGGTGAGTTCAGAAGATGAGACAGTAGAGAACAATAGCAAAGAGATAACAGACACGGGTCCTCCATCCTTCTCTCCTACAGCCTAGGCCACACCCTCCTATCCTGAGTTCCAGCAAAGTGAGGACATTAACCTCTACAATGTTTGATTCCTACAAGTGCTACATCTCCAAGGCTGGACTCTAGTGGGACAGACAAGGGGACCTAGGTGTCCTCTTGAGATCCTGAAGCAGCCATTTTTGAGAAAGGCCAAATATACTCCTACTGCCTGGTGGTTGTGAAGCCGAGTGGTCTGGGTCCCTGTGGGATCCAGGAAGATGTGTATCCAGGCTCTCTGGAAACACTCGGTTTTGTAGCCTTTTTCTGCTCTGAGAGAGTCAACAGGGATTTCCTTCCAGTTCAAGATCACAGATGAGTCCCTGAGGAAGACCTTGTCACAATCACATAACCAGGCAAAGGCAAAAATATCCAATGGCCTGCTACTGCTTTTGTCATAGAACCTGCAGAGAGGCCCAGGAACTCTTAGGGGACAGAGACTAGACCTGGAGGACAGAGGAGGGCCTGCATCACCCCTCACCTGGAATCCTTGAAGTGGGTTGGAAGGGTTGCCGTTAAACACTGACATTTCCCAAAGGTATGTTAGGCAGAGCTTGTGTCCTGGGGACCCATGAAAACTCCAGTGGGCTCTGTGCTCTGCCCAAAGCCTGTCTAGGCTTATAATAAGTGCTGCACACACGTGTGTTGTGGAACTCTGGATTAGTGCAGTGATGGGTTTAGAGCACTATCTTTCTTGGGGAGGAGTAAAATAGTATTCTAATATTGGTTAAATCCTTCTAAATGCAAAGTGGTTTAGCAGATTAGCTTAAAATTGTCTGGAAGGCTGTGCGGAAGTAGGCCATAGGAAAGGTAAGTTTGGACTCAAAGCAGAGCCGAGGGAAGTGAAACCCCTGAAATCCAATTTGAGAAAAGCTTATTTAAATGTGTTTCTTAGGGGGAAATGTTCTGTGTATTGTGTGAGTTTGTACACCAGCAACTCGTAGGTCAATCAAGTCATAAAAGGCTCTTTGCTCAAGGACTCATGTTTGACTCAGGAAAGAGAAGCCAGATGTGTGTTGGGGAACCTGTTAGCAGGGTTGATTTGTTCAGGATCTCGCTATGTAGTCCAGGGTGGCCTTGAACTCATGATCTTCAAGCTGCCTTAGCTTTCTGAGTTCCTGGATTATAAGCATACACCACCATGCTAGGAAATTCTTGCTTCCTTAGAGGAGAACCCTTTCACATATCCTCTGGGGAGAGTCTAATGTAAGAAGATGCCCCTGTCCCGTTGAAAGCTATTAAAATGAAGACCTGGTATGTGAGGTTTGAGGGCTGGATCTTATTCATTCCTCTTATCTAGACCCAGTTCTGGGCTAGCACCTGAAGTAAATGTCCACTGAGCAAAAGCAAACATCTGGGGGCTGGGGAGATAGCCCAGTCGGCAGTGTTTGTCTCGAAAACCTAAGGACAAAGCCCCAGAAACCATGTAAAAAGCTGGGCATGTGACTCCAGTGCTGGGGATGCAGTCTAGTCTCATCCGCAGGTTGCATGGACAATGTGATAGCTTGTGAGGAGTACCTGAGATAGTCTAACCTCCACATTTACACACAACACATCCATGTAAAAACATAAATACACATGCACATACACACACATGCACACACACTTTACATAAACACATTTTACATACACATGCATACCCACTACATGCACATACACACATGCACAAGCATATGCACGCACACACGGACACACACACACACACACACACACGCGCGCGCGCACTCATGCACACACAGTCTGGACATCTCATCCTTGTGCTTTTAAGATAGGTTCTATTAAAGCAAAGCTAGACCTCAACACATAGAACTTTCTGGAAGAACTGTTATATAAATTATGACTCTGTCCAGAAGGGTCCCAGAGAGAGGCGGCTTGAGGAATATGTGCCCAGCTGCATTGCCTCACTCGATGGTCACAGCAAGCTGCAACCTCTGTGACACTCAGTATCCTCACTGGAATGGGGATTGTAAAAGTTACTCATTCTCTCAGGTGACAGAAGTATATCTGCCAGGGTCTATGAGAGGGACAGCGTCAGGGAAGGCTGAAGGCCTTGAGAACGTGGAGATGTTTCTTACTGACATACATGAAGAAGGTTCCAGAGTTCATCTAATCTCTCGGGAACCTGGAAGCCTGGTGGGAGGCTTGGGTTTCTCCAACTGGTGAACTATATGGGCTGGGGCCAAGCAGAGAATCAGTGTTAAAGGCAAGTGCATACCTGGACATGTCCCCCAGCTACCAAAAAGCCCCAGTGTCTCATCATTAACTAGGTCTGCCCAGGATCCGGTGATGGGATTAAAAGGTAGATTCCAGCTCATGCATGGGACCTGGGTGGAGGCTGGGAGTCTGCATTTTTCCTGATGTTCCCACGAGATGCTAGCCTGGGACCCACATTTGCAAAAACAAAGTGATAAATGCCTGTGAGCCAAATCCTCATGGAAACCTGGCCTCGGTCAAAGGCCTCCTAAGCCCTCAGGTGGCAGTTCGGAAGGAATTCTGGCAAAAGCAGTCCTCCCTGGGGAGAACCGAGTGACTAACACAGAGAGATGCTGTTTGGAAATTTGCATTACTGGGTCTGTGTGATCCTAGTAAGTGAGTTGTGCTTTCAAGAATAGTTAAGTGTTTCCAAGATGAGGGCCTTGAAGCCTTATGGCTCCATCCCACAGAACCCAGAGAGCCTTCAAGTCCAAGTTCAAATGCATGATGCTTCCTAAACACCGGTTTCCCCAAGTCTTGAAAGTGTCACATTTGAAGATGAAAACTTGAAGTCAACATGAAACAAATGAGCCCAGGCATCTGTCTCGGTGGGTGAGGAGTGGCACTTGCAAGAATGAGGACACAGCATCTCTAAAGAGAGAGGCCAGATGAGCTCATTGATGTCACAGAGGCCTTGACATGTGGTACCCGCCTGCTAGGAATGGAAGGCTACCCTTGCATGGAAAAATCATCTGAGCCTAAGGGCACAGTGTCATAAACACTCAGATTAACATCTATTCTCTCCACTTTTGTGTGGCTACAACATTCTTCAAAAGAAAAGGGGGCATCATTGCAGCTTGGCCTTGCTTCCAAATCAACTTTCTGTTTACAGTATTGGCCTTCATAGTCCTACTGGGAAGGTAGGTCTGGTCTAAGGTTCTGCTTGAGGTAGTAATTACACTTCTCTCCACAAATGAAGAATAGGAAGGGACATTACATTTAGAGTATTGCCACTCAGAGTGTGGGCCAGAGTCTATCTACAAGGCTTTACCAGAACACAAGGAAGGGAGAATGCCCTGCAGTCGTTTGGCATGGCCCTAACATCCATCCTAACTCACATAGTGAGCTGCTGATGCTGTGAACTGGGCATCACCAAGCTGTCTCACCTACTTTGCCAGATTGACTGTGCATGGAAGCGTGTGGCCATTTGCCTGGCCAAGCCAGAGCACCAGCTTCTTTGCCTCTTCAGGTGAGATTTGGTGCATGCAGGGTGTTATGGACATAGGCAAAGAAAAATCAGGCTTCAGTTCTTTTCTCCAGCAACCACTGCTACCGTCTTTTTGAATCGGGGTCTTGTGTAGCCCAGGTTGATTTCAAACTTGCTGTGTAGCTGAGGATGACCTTGAACTTCTGACCATCTGCTTCCACTATCTGTGTGTTGGGGATGGAACCAGAGCTTGGTGAATGCCAAGCAAGCTCTTTACAAATTGAGCCCTAGCCCTAGTCCCTTCCTTTGCCTTTGCTGCTTCTCCCAGATTTCCATTTCCTGGGGGCATCTGGCAGCAACAGAGGGACATTCGAGGAGCTCCTGCAAACTGTCTAGGCTAGTCTGAAAGCCAGTAATCTCAGAAAAGATGATTTACAGTGCAGTGTGGTGGGGAGGGAGGCGGGGAGCGAGCTGTTCCCCACGGCGCTCATTAAGCTTCCATAGATTGCGTTTCCTGCCTCCCCCACTAGCCCTCCAAAGTGCCTGTTATTAATTCATAAAAACACTGCAAGCATGATTGAGTCCGCTGATTACTGGAGCAGGCAGACACAAGAGACGGTAAAATATTCTGCGTCTCTCTATCAGGCTCTCAGGGGCTGAGAGAGAGAGAGAGAGAGAGAGAGAGAGAGAGAGAGAGAGAGAGAGAGAGAGAGAGAGAGAGAGAGAGAGAGAGAGAGAACAATGCAAAGAAAGGGATATGAAAAAAAACCATGTTGTGAAATATTAATCAGAACTGTTTGCCCCCAGGGGCCAAAAATAGGAGGTGGTATAATCAATGTAGCAAGAGCTGCCCAGCGACTGTCTTTGAGAAGCTGATTATGGCAGGTAAATACAGCTAAATATTCTAGGTCTTTGGACTATCCCTTTTCTGTCACTGGAGAATCTGATTCCCTTATCGTCCTTCTGCAGGCGTGGCCCTGGGGGAATGCAGTAGGTGCTGGCTGGACCTGGCTGTATGGGCCCAAGTAGGAACTGCTTTGGTTCCCTTCCAATCGTTGATTCAGGCAGGGTGGGAGCTGGGGATGCACACATTGTGGGTAGATTGGACTTTAGTCTCAGCAGCTAATGACCCAGTGCTGACTGTGCCAAGGGAAGCCTCTTGAGGGCCTTCTGCAGGTGCTCAGATGGATTTGGTGGAAGCCGGAATAGGGGGTGTACACTGTAGTCAGTGAGACCGCAATCTTTCCTCCTCAGCTGCATATTGAGACAGTTGACTCAATGGGCCCCGTGTCTGCCATGCGTCTCTTAAGCTCAGGGATTTGATCACGAAGTCTGCATTCATGCCTGTGACTGGGAGGAAAGGCCTGTTACTACGGTCCAGAATGAGTCCAGATGCTGTTCTCCCTTATGGATGGGAGGACATAGGTGTGGGCTCCTATCCACAGAGGCAGAGAAGCTCAGAGGGTCTTTAGATCTCAAACACCCCACCTCCATGCTGCACCGAGGTCCAGAGAATGACATTTCCAATAGAGACGATTCTTGACATGCCCCTGAGTGTGAAAAAGGAGAGGCACAGCTAGGGGTGGGGGGTGGCTCAGTCAGTAAAGGACTTGTCTTGCAAACCCAAGGACCTGAGTTTGATGGTTCAGAACCCATATAAGAAAGCATGGTGGCACTCGCTTTCAGTTCCAACACTAAGGAGACAGGCAGATCCAACATCCACGGGCCTTGCTGACCAGTCAGCCTAGGTGAACTGGCAAGCTCCAGTCTAAAGAAGGACACTATCTCAAAAACGAAGGTGGACAACTCTTTTCTGCATCCGCCCCCCTCCAAACAAAGGCACACACATACATGTACCCCCAGGAGCACACACCGGCTTTCATCAAGTCTCCCTTGAGACTTTGTTTCCTCGCTTGAGTATTAATTTGACAAAGTGTTCATCCAGCCCATGAAGGAGAGTAGTAGGGCAGGGAGTGAGCCGCGCCCAGGATCCTCTCAGTTGAGGGGAGAAAGAAGGTGGAGTAGAGCAGGTCAGAGCACCCCCTCCCCACCCACACCCCTGCCCCATGTTCATGGACCAGGAAACCATCCACCATGGTTTCTTGGGGGAGAAATTGTCCTTCTGCCTTTCCTTCCCAGTCTGGGATTACAGATGTGTGCCAGCATGGGAGGCAAGGAATTAAATTTCTCTTTTAAACAAGGTTCAGTATGGTTCCCTAAGTGCCCTGAATCATCCAGTTCCCCTGTGAGTGTTTATTATGGGAGTCCAGAAGAGCTCCATCTCCACCTCCATCAGCTTCAGCAGAGGGTGGTAAGGACCTAGGCAGCCAACTGCATTCGTGAGTGACTCAACCTGTAAACAGTTGTTCCTTCTTGGCTCCAGGAAGTGGCTGCTATAGCTACTTGGGAAAATAATGGCAATTACCTTTCAGAATTGTAGCTGCCACCCCTGGAGTGGGTACAGAATACCTAATCTTAAACCAGTGCTGCCCATTTTACTGCAAAAATACAGCAAGGATGAGCAGGTTTCAAAACTTTGCTTCCAGTCAAAAAGTCAATTGGGAGTGGAAAATACATATTTCTCTCCGTTGGGAAGACTCTGGCCACAACTCACCCCTACCCTGCTCTCTCTCTCTCTCTCTCTCTCTCTCTCTCTCTCTCTCTCTCTCTCTCTCTCTCTCTCTCTCTCTCTCTCTCTCTCTCACACACACACACACACACACACACACACCTGCTGATTTCTTTCAGGCCAGGAAAGTGAGCTTCATACTGGAAGAGAATGCAATGGCCTGGTAGTACATCTGCTGTGTATACACTACACTACAGGAGCCCAGGCTATCCTGAACTTTGTTCAGTCTCCCAAGGCCAACTAAATGAAGCCTGATTCTGAGAGGGCTTTCAAAGATCACCAAAAGCTGGTGATGCCCTTGGGAGGCCTACAGAACAGGAAGGACAGCATGCATACGAAAGGAAATATTGTGACCTTGCAACCTTGGTGTGAATCCAGGACTCAAGGGAATCCCAAGTGATGAAAGCGTGATTGATCAGCAATTAGAAAAGGAATACGAATTGTAAGTAACCAAAAATGGCTTCACAAAGAACAAGTGAATGGAAGTAAGCCTGTATCAGAATGTGTGGTCTTTAGTGGGTGGTCAGAGAAGCACAATAAAAGTAATGGATCTAATTTTAGTAAAGCAATTGGCATGGACTTTCAGTGCCTTCAGATGGGGATGGAGAAACACAGAAAGGAAATCTGAGCAACGGCAGCGAGAGGAACTCAGGGGACTTGGTTAATGCCTGCTCTAGTCTGGCTTCTGTTGCTGTGATAAATAACCCTGACTAAAATCAACTTGGAGGAAGAAAGGGTTTAGTAGCTTACAAGTTACAGGCTGTCATCTAGGGAAGCCAAGGCAGGAACCTGGAGGCAGGAATAGAAGACCAGCCATGGAGGAACACTGTTTATTGTCTTGCTTCCAGGCTCATGCTTTGCTGGACTTTTCATCTAACCAAGGTTCATAAACCTAGGGATGGTCTCACTCACAATAGTCAGGGCCCTCCCACATCAACCATCAATCAAGAAAATACCCCGCAGACACGCCCACAGGCCAATCTGATCCAGGCAATTCTTCTGTTAAGGTTCCCTCTTCCTAAGTGTGCCAAGTTAATAACAAAACTAGCCAGGACAATGTCCAAAGGCTGGCCCTCTACAGGCACTCAGCAATGTCTCCCAAATGAGTGTCGGCATGGGCAGTGGCAGTGGAAGTGACAGAACTGGATCCTGTCCCAGCCAATGATTTAATCCATTATCTGATAATAGACAGAGAAGTAAAGTTTAATATCTAGTTACGACTCATATTAATAGTATAACTTAATCTTTGTAGAGTTATCCAAGTACCTTTAAAATGAAGTGAGAAAAGTTTTTATGTATGGAAAAAGTTCTGGAAGTTATATGCCGTGCGTGTGCGCGCACACACATACACACTGAGCAAGCATAGAGAGGGAGCAGAGGATACCTAGTAAGTATAATCATTTTTTAATAAAAATGACCGTGTTTGTGTGTGTGTGTGTGTGTGTGTGTGTGTGTGTGTGCGCGCGCGTGAATGAGACAGAGTTGGGGGGAGGGTTTGTTAGCTAAAGTTCTTGCTTTGCAAGCATGAAGACCTAGGTTTAACCCCCCAGAACCCATGTAAAGTAATGCCAGTACTGGGGAGGTAGAGACAAGCAAGGAGGAGAACGGAGCTACAACCTTGCTCACTTGCCCTAGGAACAGGTATTTAGACCCTGTCAACTTTGCCATCAACACTCATCGACCACGTCCTGTATACTGATGCTAGCATTTGTCACTGCTGCCCAGAAATTCAGGGAAGATGCTTCCTCTTGGAAGGAGGAAGACATTTACTTCCAAGGAATGACAAGCAGCTCTTCAGTGAGCAAGTGAGACCTGCCCTAGAAGGGGTTCAGGATAGCCTGCAAAGTGACTGTTTGGTAGAAGATAGGGAGACAAAGACACTGCCAATGAATAGGAGGGCCTCAGCTGGACGTTGGGACTAATACAGAAAAAGATGCGGGTTATTACAAACATGGGGCAGAGCCTCAGGTGCGATGAAGAGGAGGGAAAGGGTTGGATGACACTGGGTCTGGTCATGCTGTACTAGGCTCAGGTGTCTATGGGTATGGCTTGGACTGGTACAAGGCCAAGGGCTTTGATTTTCTTGCTCCAGGGACAGTTGGACATTCTTGAAGCCAGTGACCATGGCTTCAATGCTCTGGATTAAAAAAAGGTTTCAAATATCCCAGTCCCTGACCAGCAGGGCACCTACACTCTAGCCCAGGCAGTCCCAGGGCCCCAGACTCCAAGGTTAGCAGCCATCTCCTACCTGTAGGGCTACTGTATGGATTAATGAGCTTGTGTTTTTGAAGGGTGCTCAACTCCTCAGAAGGGCTCTGCAGAGGCAGAAGAGGGTTGTAATTACCACCACTGCAATTAACAAGTCCAAACTTCTTAGAGAATAAAGTGCTTAATAAAAGAAGGGGGGAAGAAAGGGAAAACCCCAACATGTTTGAACTTGGGATTTTCTCCCCCTTTATACAGTACTTCTTGGGAAGGTATCGAATGGTGATCTATTCTCTCCTTTCAAAGGGGAGCCCCAGATGGGATATCTTAATGCTGAGAGCAGATTCTGCCAGCATGATGAAGTGTACTAAGACTCTGCAAAAAAGCAAGCTTGGTAATTAGGAACTTAGAGGGCGTCCCTGTTATTAAGGTTCGATGTTACCCACCTGCCTGCTGGTGGTGGAATCACTGGATTCTGGGAGGTGAATGTGCCAGTCACACTCAATCCCAAATGCTCCTGGTAGAGGGGACACCATGCCTCCTGCCTGACCTATGTGCAAAGTGGTTAAGCACATACTTCAGAGATAGCTCATTTCTAATAGCATTTGTATTTTATTTTATCCTTTACCAGGGATGGGGATATTGTCTTCCTAGGAAAATCGGACAGGGTTTAAAGGAGAAAGCATTCTTCTTTTTTCCTGTTTTTCAATATTAAAAATGGAATCTATAACCTCAACACGAAGGCAAGCCCTCCACCACTGGGCCGTGTCCCCAGCCCTACTTTTGAAACTTTGAGTGAAAGTCTTGATCACATTGGTTTTGAACTTTCTCTACATTTCAAGCAAGCCTTGGTTTTGCAGTCTTCCTGCCTTGGCCTCTGGAGTAGCTGGGATTAACAAACTTGTGCCACCAGGCCCAGCTCAGGGAGGTCATTCCTCTGACTCCTGATTTGCATTGCTGTGTGATCCCCAGGTGGTTGAGTCAGGTAAGTGTGCATGTTTTAACACCAGTTCATCAGTACTGTGCATGGATGTCTTGTGTGTGTGTGTGTAGGTGTGTGTGTGTGTGTGTGTGCGCGTGCGTGCACATGTGCTCACACTCGCATTTGTGTAGCCAAAGTCAGACACAAATACGATGCAAGGTTTTGTATCATCCATTCAGCACTGGGATGGGGAATTCTTGCTCTGCCTATTTCTACCTGCTGGCCTTGATGTTGAATGAACCTGTTAGTGGTTCCTCCCCATAGTCCAAGTGGTAAATAAATGTGCAGCTTTTCTCCTATACAGAAAGCCAACTTAATAATAGACCAAAAGCAGGGCATTGGTGGTGCACACCTTTAATCCCAGCACTCTGTGAGTTTGAGACCAGCCTGGTCTACAAGAGCTAGTTTCAGGACAACATCCAAAGCCACAGAGAAACCCTGTCTCGAAAAACCAAAAAAAACAAAAAAAAAAACAAAAAAAACTATACCAAAAACATAGTTACTCATCAGAATGTTTATAAAAGAGAAACTGTG